GTAATTTTATTACTATCAAGTAATTCTCTCAATTTTTTACTTATGTTTCATTTGGCAACTCATTGTTTTAACTTAAAAGTCCAAAAATATTTAAAAAAAAACTAAAAAGTCAACAACATATATAAAAAAGTCAAAAATTTCATTTTCTCTTTATTTTTTGCGTATCCTTTCATAAAAAATCAAAAAATTTTTCCAAACATACTAACTTTTTTTACCTCATATTTTAACCAAAAATTAAAAAATTACTAAAATAACTTGTTTCTAAACAAGGCCTTATTATTAATTTTAGTGGTTTTTTTTATTTTTACATTTTTGGTTGGTCTAATAAAGTATATTTTAAAAGTCAAAAGGTTTTTAATTTTTTTTTAAAAAAATTCATCAAAAAAAAAAAAACTAAAAAATCACTGAAAAATTACATTTTAACAAGTCATTAACGAATTAGGTTTTGAGTTTCAAAAAGCCTTAGCCCTCGTTTGGCATGATAGAGCATCTACAATGGCTATTGCTATATTACCATTACTATTGTTATAATTTGGTAATGAATAGTGCTATTTTGTCAAATTATAGCAATGGTGCTCCAATGGTCATTTGCTATTTTGGCAAATCTCAACCAACTTTCCCTCCAAGTTTGTAGGTGGCATTTGGATATAAGTTTTTTTTGTGATTTTATTTTTGTTTATTTTTTTGTCTTTTGTGACTTTTTTTTAACTGTTTGTGAAAAAAAAATTATATTTATATTATTCATGACTAGACAAATATAAAAATGAAAAAAGTTGAAAAATTGGAAAAAAATATAATTCACCCCATCAAAAAACATATTACTACATATTTAATAATTTTTTCTTTAACTACATATAAAAAATAAACAATCACCAATTATCCACCAACAATCATCCATCATTCACCCAACATTCATTCACCAACAACTATCCACCAACAACCATCCATTATTCACCAACAACCACCCACCAACAACTATCCATTGTAGAAAATACTCAAAAATAAAAAAACAAAAAAAAATGAAATTTCATTACAAAATAAAAAAAATAATATTGTAAATAAAGACTACCGATTACATTAAAAAATAAATGACATTGCAAAAAAATACATTATCTCGTAATTATTCGTCAGGAGGCATGGAAAAATAGTAATTTGGGCTGTTGACATTTGAGGGCCACTTGGCGAAAATCTAATTTTTTCGCATTGTGTAATACGCTTTCGCTTGAGGGCCCAAATGAGAAATGTCCGTAGTCATTATCTCATGTTCTTGTTTTCTGATCTCAAGTTCTTTCATCTCCTGCAGTGCTAGAATCATTTTTTCTTCTCTTTCATATTTTTCTTTTCCTTCTCAGCAAGGTGTTGGTTAAATGTCTCCAATTGTATACTCATTTTTTTGACTTCAGTTTCAACTACTTGATTTCTCTGAAATAATTCTTTTGCAGCTTTCCTACCTATAGGCCTTTTATCCTTTGCAGTGACACTGCCCTCACCAATAGTTGGATTATTACCAATACTTGGACTGGTGTCATCTTCAAGAGAAATATGGTTATCCATAGGGGAGTCGGGGGTTGAATCAGGGGAAAACGGTGTATGTATCCTTGACTTCATTGTATTTGTAGGAGTTACATCTTGCTACTTGATATTGTTTTGCAAGATTGGCCAACAATGTTCAAAAGCAAAATGTTTGTTTTCATCTTGATGGTATAATAGTTTTGCTTAAAGCATTTATATGGAAATAAAATATTAAATTAATTAATAAGTTAATTTTTATATAAGACAAAATAAAAAAAATTAACATAATAAATGAAAATGAAATCTTACTATATCAACTTGTGACGCCCTACTTGGATGTAGATTTTCGACTTGCGCTAGACATCCACGAAATTTGTTACAACATTTCATGATTACACCTCATCGAGATTAGATAGACACTTGTGTTCTTGACTGATCATTCTGCAGCGAGCAATAATTTTCAAAAATTCTTCCCCAAAAATAAACATGCAATTGCGAATTTCCAACAATTGGGTATTCAGTAATGTGACACCAAGCTCTACAAATTGACACATCTTCTTGAGTAGTAAATGATTTTTCTCTCTTTGTTTTTATTGAACTTTCCATACTGATTGTGTGAAAAATAAAATAGAAAAATATAATTAAAGAAAAATTGTTGTTGTGAACTCAAATTGGTAAAACAAGGTATATATGTGCATTTATACTACTCAAATTGAAAGAAAAATAACTGTTTAATTATAGCTGTTTAAAAATTGTATGCTCATTTTTTTTTACTTTCAGATTCAAATAGAGCAGTTGGACTCATATTACACATTCCAAGACACTCTATCTCTCATTTCAAACAGCTAAGATTTTATCTCCCATTTCCAACGGCTGAGATCTTTATTATCTAGAATCATCTTCATCTTTCTATCTCTCTATAATCATATTCCTCTCTCTTCTCTACATACTCTCTGACTCTCTTCTCTTTTCTCTCTTCATATTGATCGGTTCTTCCCTTACAAGATAGACACTTCTCTCTCTATTCTCCGTCTCTATCTCCTCTCTCTCTTCGATCGACTATCCAATCCTTTTCCTCTCCCTCACTGTCACACACACACACACACACACACACACACACATTCTCTCTCTCTCTCTCTCTCTCTCTCTCTCTCTCTCTCCTACAATAGAAGAGGCTATCACCCTTACTGTCCCTTTTGGTCTCTGTTCTACCTCTCCCTCACTATCACTGTATCTCTCTTTGATCGGCGACGGTACAAGATCGAAGAGACGATCGGTGACCGTTTACCCCTACCCCTCTCTCCCTCTCACTCTTCTCTGTCTCCCTCTCTCTCTCTTTCAGTCTTAGAATGGAAGAGACGATCACCAGATCTACCTGTCTCTCACTGTCACTTTATCTCTCATCTCTCTGTCTTCGATCGGTGACGGTATATGCTCAAAAAGACGATCGGCGATCGTCTACCAGATATCTGTCTTCGATCTCTCATCTCTCTGTCTTCCATCTACCAGATCTACTTTGAACTACCAAAACCAAGTATTTCTCCTTTTCAGTTTTGTTCATTATTTTCAATTTTGTTTTGTGAATCTGTTTGAATTTGTTCTGTGATTTGGTTTTAATTTTCTAGAAATTGTTGATTTTTTTTTTAATTTTTTAATTTTTTTGTGTGAATCTATTTGAATTTGATGAATCATTTGCATTTGTTTGAATGTGCTGATTTTGGGTAAAATGGTGAATTCTGAAACATGGTAAAATGGTAAATTCTGATTTCAAGTAAAATGGTAAAATGTTGCATTATTCAAAAAAAAAAAAAAAATTGGTGAATTCTGAAACATAAAAATGGTGAAATAGTTACTGGAGGAGGGATGGAAAGAAGGAAGGAAGGAAGGAGGGAAACAGTTGGTTTTGGCCGAGTTGGCACAAATGGTAGCTGTCAAAGCTTGTGTCAAATTTGACACAAGTTTTGACATTTCTCAAATTTGATAGCTGTTATATTTTGCTAGGATTATTAATAGTGATGGGGTAGGGGTGAGATTATTAATCCAATGGATAATTTATCTTATCAATCCAATTGGATAGTGAATACCACACTAATTTGATAGGATTATTAATGTCTCACTATTAGTATTGTGAATCAAACATGGCCATAGTGTGTTGCATACAAATAAATGAATCTGAATAAGAATATTAATAAATAATATATGTTTGAGACAATTTGTCAGTAACAAATGTATTCCTCATGAGTTCCATATTATTGTGTATTGTATATGTATTGTAAAATATATTTAACTGAAGATACATACTGATGATACATATTGATTTATCCCTAAAAAATATCAAATTTTAAGATGTGTATTGTGAATCGTAACACACAACAACATATTTGATATAACAACTCCACCATTTTTTTAATAAAAAAAATATAGGAAAAAAAATGCAACAGCATAAATCCATTTCAAAAGGTCAAATCTCATCTAAATTCCACAAGGTAAACAAATAGGCAATTGGCTATATCATCTAAATTCAATCGACGAAGAAAGTCATCTGAAGAACTCATATGGCCACTGATTATGACAAGCTGTTACTAATTCTTTTATAACTAGGATCCTACTAACCGCTGAACAGGTAGCCTAGTTGGTCAATGGGTATGCTCCCCACATGCCCAACTCAACTCTGATTCGACTCTTGATCAACAGTTTACACTCTTGGGTGGCCTAAAAGACACTACCTGGTTATTAAAAAAAACTAGAATCCTACTACTCTTCTCAAATACGCAGAGAAAAACGAGGGGAATGATGGACAGTAAATGAATTCTTCAAAAGTGGTAGTTGTTATCTATTATACATTATACTTAGAACTCTTGTTTTTTTTTCTTATTATATTTAGGACTCTTGTATTCTTGTACACCTAGGTTTCCTATACACCTAGGTTTCTTGGCCTATATATACAGGCTTCTTCTATTGTATTGATTACATTGAATATATACAATACATAATATTTTTTTCTCTTTCTTTACTATTCTAGCATGGTATCAGAGTATCATAGTGTGGAAAAAGGGGCAGCCATGAATTGACTGACAATGTGAACAACATAAGCAATATTTGGACGAGTAACCGTGAGATAGACAAGACTGCCAACTAGCAGACGATATTTTGTGGCATCAGACAATAAGGAACCTTCAAGAGGTGTAAGACGAGTCTGATGATCAACAGGAGTAGTGACAGTCTTGCAATCGGTAAGGCCAACACGAGCCAAGAGATCAAAAGTATACTTGGCCTGGGTAAGAAAGTAATCAGATGAATCTTGAGAAATTTCCAAGCCAAGGAAGTAGCTAAGCAAACCCAAATCTTTTATCTCAAACTGGCGACGGAGAAACTGTTGGAGACTAGAAATACCCATGGGGTCATCTCCAGTGATAATCATATCATCCATATATAAGAGAAGTAGAATAGTACCACACTCCGTCTTACGTATCCTATATGTGGATGATATGATTATCATTAGAGATGACCTCGCAGGTATTTCTAGTCTCCAACAGTTTCTCTGTCGCCGCTTTGAGATGAAAGATTTGGGTTTGCTTAACTACTTTCTTGGCTTGGAAATTTCTCAAGATTCATCTGGTTACTTTCTTACCCAGGCCAAGTATACTTCTGATCTCTTGGCTCGTGCTGGCCTTACCGATTACAAGACTACCACTGCTCTCGTTGATCATCAGATTCGTCTTACACCTCTTGAAGGTTCCTATTGTCTGATGCCACAAAATATTGTCAGCTAGTTGGTAGTCTTGTCTATCTCACGATTACTCGTCCAAATATTGCTTATGTTGTTCACATTGTTAGCCAATTCGTGGCTGTTCCCCGTTCTCCACACTATGATGCTCTAATTCGCATTTTGCGCTATCTCAAAGACACTCTGTTTCATGGTCTTCACTACTCCGCACAGTCTTCTCTACAGCTTCATTCCTTTTCTGATGCAGATTGGGCAGGGGATTCTACTGACCGTTGTTCCACTACTAGGTTCTGCTTCTTCTTGGGCAACTCTCTCATTGCCTAGCGTAGCAAGAAAAAAACTCTTGTTGCTCATTTTAGTATCGAGGCTAAGTATCATGCTCTTGCTGACACTACTCACGAGCTTGTGTGACTTCGTTGGCTTCTTTCTGATATGGGAGTTTCTCATTCTGCTGCCACCAATCTTTATTGTGATAATTGGAGTGCTATTCAAATTACACATAACGATGTCTTCCATGATCGCACCAAGCATATTGAGATAGATTGCCACTTCATACGCCGACATGTTACTAAGGGCACTATTCGTCTTCTCTTTGTTACCTCTGCTGATCAGACCGCCGACTTCTTCATCAAAGCTCATCTTTCAGGATGTTTCTCTGATCTACTCGCCAAGCTCAAGTTGCTATTTGCCTTACCACCTTGAGCTTGAGAGAGGTGTTAGTTGTTATCTATTATACATTATGCTTAGGACTCTTGTTTTCTATTCCTATTATATTTAGGACTCTTGTATTCTTGTACACCTAGGTTTCCTATACACCTAGGTTTCTTGGCTTATATATACATGCTTCTCCTATTATATTGATTATGTTAAATATATACAATACATAATATTTTCCTCTCTCTCTACTATTCTAACAAAAAGAAAGGAGCATGATATATGTAAAGAGAGGAGGTTGGGTTGACTCTTTATGAAAAAAAAAGTACAAAATGTAGAGAGAAAATAAATAATACTGTTTGGGACCCCCTTTTTTGGGGGTTTCATGACTCCTAATTTGATCTTGGCTCTTGATGTGTGTGGGGTCTACTCATGTATGTGTGGACCTCACATTATGAATGGTTGGGATAATAATAGAAGTTGTGGGGGTCTCTATCACAATTGGAAAATAAAATCTTAACTTTTTTGTATAACTTGTTGACTTGTGTTTTTTAGTAATTTTTTTGCTTTTAAATTAAAACATCAACTCTCCAAACAAGGCCCAAAGTATGTAGCAAATAGAAAAAGATGTCAAAAATGAGATTTAGAAAAAAGTCAATGAGAGGAAGAGTATTTTGGGAAACTCCAGTCAATTTATTCTCTTTAATTTTTTTTATATTTTTTCGTAAAAAATTAAAAAATCATTAAAAAAAACTAATTTCCAAACACTCCATTAGTACATAACTAACAAAAACAAGTAACGGCTTGGTCCAAAATTTTCAGTTCTTTTGAGTTTTAATTTATAAATGAAATCGTAATTTATGATGAGTGATGTTAAGGATATCAAATTTTTTACCAAACAAATAGCCAAATATTTCATATGCGTATAAAAGTGGACTTCACACCTATGTGAGACATTTGATCATTTATTTGGTAAAAAATTTGAGGCCTATAATATTTTCCATTTATGATTCTTAAATTTTTTAAACCAGAACCAAACTGTTTCCTCAAAAAAAACATAACCAATCTATATGATTCGAATCGGTTCGGAAAAACACAACCAAAGTATATGATTCAAACCAGTTCGGATCGGGTTTATAGTTTAACCAATTTTTTTTTTGACACCCCTAAAACAATGTTCATGTCAAATTGTCAATTAGCATGCATATTCCCCTTCCTTTGTTTCCTATCCATAAACATATTTTTGAACTCCGAAGTCTACTGTTCTACTTTTAAGGTCCTTCCAAGTATATCAGGAGGAAAAACTTCAATTCCCAAAACTTTTGTAAGCCGTGTCCACAACCCAAAAGCTCGATCGAGGTATCAACAATTCTTGTTCAAGATAGCCATTGCAAGAAACTTCACCATTGCAGCCAGCCAAGCTTTCTTAGCTTGTTCAGAATACCTCTGCATAGCTATAACAAAACCAATAAATCCAGGGTCTAAGTAATTTTTTTGCTTAAGGTAACATGGTACAGAACTAGAACGACAGAGCGTATTCACTGTGTTCTAATTAGCATCAGATGAAATCTACATGCAAATTGAACAACAATAAAACAATTAAGTGTAACCTACAAAAGAAAAGCACTTGAAAAAAAGCCAATGCCGTAAGTTAGGTTTGCTTCACTTTTCAAGGTGCTCCGACACAACCATACCCAAATCCAAAAAGGCGACTTCTACTTCAGAGAAACATTTAAGAGTTTTGTTTATTTGTCTTCCCTCCCCAAAAAGGCCCATTCCATTTCCCACAGCTCAGTTGCTGCACGTCTGTACCATTATATAATAAACTTAAAAGTCAGCCAATAAGAAAAGTTAGTTTAGATTTTAGTCGTAATTCACGATGTGACAAAAATCAAATGAGTTCATTTGAGAAAAATCGAATAAGTCAACATTTTCTATGAAAGACAACATATTACATTAACATTGAACAAGTATACAATCAAATCAGTGGGCATGAAACAGGAAAGATTATTTAGTAGTGAATAGTTAATAATTATAATCTAATGAACTTGCATTTCATATTCTCAAAAAAGCACCCGCATGTAATACCTTTCATAAAAGAATAAAGGTTGTCAGTGTGTGTAAATTCATATTCATGATCCTGTGAGTGCTTCCCTATCTGAGATGAGAGGATGTTTTCAGCCTAACTTCAGGCTTTACGCAAAGTTCTTTTATACCATCCATCGGAGTCCACATTTTGCAACCCTCAAAAGTTCAAACATCTCAAATACCACACACGGTAGAAGTCTTATGGCATTTTTTCCCTGATATCATTACGTATTTTTTTTTTATCAATATAGTTACATTTTCTGGTTGCATAATATTAGCTTGATAGGGAATTTTGAAGTGAATATTGCACTTTAGAAGATGAAATCGAATAAGGTTTTAGGATTTGATGATATCCCTATTGAAGTTTGGAAATACTTGGGTAAGAAGGGGGTTTCTTATTAACTAAACTATTTAGCGAGATTTTGTTAATTAGGATAATGCTAGACGAGTGGAGGAAGAGTATTTCAGTGACAATCTATAAGAATAAAAGAAATGTCCAAAATTGCAATAATTATAGAGGAATCAAGCTAATGTATTATAAAATAAAAGTATAGGAGAGAGTGATGGAACGTCGATTGCGAGCTATAACAAAAGTGCCAGAGAATCAATTTGATTTATGCTTGATAGAAGCGATCTATCTTTTAAGGAGAGTAATAGAAACGTATAGAGAAAACAAAAGAGATATTCATTTGACTTTTATCGATCTTGAGAAAGCATACGAAAAAATGCCTTGGGATATGAGTAGACAAGAAATATTCAATATGATGTGCCACGGTGGATGCTTTTTGCAGATGATATCATGTTAGTAGATGAGACTAGAGAAAGAGTTAACAATAAGTTGGAGACTTTGAGAGAAACACTTGAATCTAAAGGATTTAGGCTAAGTAGAATTAAGACCGAATGCATGGAGTGTAATTTTAGTAACAGTATGAATGAAAACAAAGGAGAAATGAAGATTGAGAACCAAGAACTACTTAAGAGTGTACATTTTTGTTATTTAGGCTCTATTATCACAACGGTTGGGGAGATTGGAGCAGATGTGGTCCATAGAATTAAAGCAAGTTGGTTTAAGTGAAGGTGTGCATCTAGGATACTGTGTGATAAACGAATACCCACTAAACTAAAAGAAAAGTTCTATAGAACAACTATTAGACTAGCAATGTTGTATAAGACAGAATGTTGGGCAACTAAGAAACAACATATAGATAAGATGAATGTTGTTGAAATGGAGAAGCTAAGGAGGATGTGTGGCAAGACTAGAAAAGATAGAGTTATGAATGAGTATATTCGTGAATGGGTACAAGTAGTACAAATAGAAGGTAAGTTAAGATGGTTTGGTCATATACAACGGAGACCAACAAAGGCAGTAGTGAGAAGTTAAGTTAAGAGAAAATAAGTCAAGATGGGTTGGGCATATACAACGGAAATCAACAGAGACAGTAGTGAGAAGATGCATTACAGTTACAGTAGATGAAAATACTAAATGAAGGGGCATATCTAGATTGACATGGGATAGTGTAGTAAATAGAGATATGAACCTCCTTAATTTGACTAACAAGTAATCCTTGATAGAGCCGAATGGAGAAGAAAGATTTATGTAGCCGACCTCATTTGATAGACTTAAGGCATGGTTTGCTTTGGTTTGGTTTGTGTTTGTATTTTGAACTTATGTTTATAAGATTATTGTTTGTACTATTAAACACACTTCATGTTTTTTCTTAACAAATTGGAAGTTATCCATAAGTATAATTAGTAAAGAAAGGAAAATTAAATAAATCCAACAGTAGGAAAATTCTCCATAGCGACTTATATAACTACTATAAAAATTAGTATCTATATTGAATCATATTTTACAACTAACAAAAATACTAAAAATCATTTTAAATCTCACTAAATGGGATTCTAAAACAAAAACATATGTATCAGTATGTTATCCTAAAGTTATGCAAAGAATTAAAAAATTCACGATTCTAATTGCCACCACCATTACGCTATGGTCGTTACACCCCACAACCATGTTGTCAACGCTACCATTAACCGCCACCGTTATTTAAAACCTTGATTCCACTAATAACTCATTTGCTCCACTATTTGCATGCCTCATCCAAATCAAGATTTCTATAGTTGGCAAGAATACCTTGTTTGTTACATGAAATGCACAGAAGAAAAGTAAGCAAGAATCATCATAATCACAAAGTTCCCTTTTTCTTTTCTTTCCTTTTATTATTATTATTTATTCTAATGCAATTTCTCAATGATTATTTGTGAATCATATACTAAATAGCATATCAAACTCGAGGAATGAGAGATGCAACACTAACTCAACAAAATCGAAAATAATGAAAGATGCAAGTAATTAATTTTTTTTCTCAAACATTCAAATATAATGAAATGGGAAAGCTGCATCACACATGATGATGTGAGAGAGCACCTCATTCACCAGTGCAATCCCTTGGCCTCAATGTTTTCATAGTTTAAAATATACAGGTGGAGATAGTACTAAACTAGATAGAGAAGATGCGAAGACAAACAGAGTCAGAGAGATATTATCATTTCTCTATTATCATTTACATCACTACTGA